CTATTTCTCCAATTTTATGTCTACAAGCAAAAGTCAATTTGGATTATAGAAATTTCTTTACAGATAATTTTTCATGATGCACTACTCTATATATTAAGGAATATCTGTGTATTTATGATATTTTTATTCCACTCAACTTCAAACTAGTTGCAACAAGATCCTTCTTCTACAGAATACTCTTCCTTCTACATAGTTCAAATTTTTAATTATGGAAAATAAATGCATTCTCTACATGCAAATATGAATGTAAACTGTATAAAATATATGCTGTAATGTTGGATAGTTTGTTTTTGCTGAGGAAGATTTGCCCTAAGCTAACATCTGCTACCAATCTTCCTCTTTTTGTATGTGAGCCGCCATCACAGCATGGCCACTGACAGACAGACGAGTGGTGTAGGTCCACACCTGGGAACCGAACCCGGGCCACTGAAGTAGAGTGCACCAAACTTAACCACTAGACCACTAGGGTTGACTCTGGATAATTTTTAAATGTACAAATTTTTTTAAATAAGAATATTAAATAATTACATACCAAAGCAATTCCTGCAGAATAATGGGTAACACACATCTTTCTAGGAAACGTTGCTCCCACATAATCTGGATGATCTCTATAGCTAAATAAAGAGGTACATATTTATAATTAATTTTGACAAACAATTCAAACGAGAGAATTCCTGCTAATAATTCATCTGTAGTTCATAAAATCCTAGTCTAAAGCAAATTGGGGTATGATCTTTCCATATGTCCTTAACTGTTTCAACTTGGGAAGATATTGTTAATTAAATGAGATTAAGCACTCAGGATTTCCAAAACATATCCAAGTTTTTGATGGTTTTTCTGTTACCAAAACCTTGGACCAAATATTTTGATCAAAAGCATTTTGTTGAGTGACAGTGAAAAAGTTTTAAAGCATGGATTAAAATTTTTGACTCTCACATAGAAAAGCTCACCAGTTTCTCATAGGAATGACTTTATTGTTCTACAACTTAACACTACTATTTCTGCTTTGAGTAAGGGCCCATAAAAACTGTCATATAATAATAGCACGGTTCTCAGAGATTTACATAAATTATTCCATTTAATCCTCAAATCAAGCCAATGAAATAGATGTTACCTTTATCCCCATTGACCAAACCAAACATCAGATGGAAAGTATAACTTTCTCAGGGTAGCACAATTAATAAGTGCTACTGAAGAATTTGAACTTGGGCAGTTTGAATCCAGAGCCATAGTCTCAACTACTAAGGCGTAGACGCTCCAAACATATTCTGCCATCTTTAGAGCCTCCACCAAAACAAACATTCCAAAATGTGTGTAAAGCTTGGTACTCAATTCTCAATTTGCAATGCTCCCTCGGTCTCAATTGCACTGTCTTCCCACTGCTGCCTTTATTCTGTCTCTCTGGTATTGTTTACACCTAACCCCTCCAGCACTTGTTGCCAAGTATTTGCTCTTAACACCCCACTTTGGCTTTATATTTCAATGTCTAAGTATTGTTTACACTCTTTCTTCATCCAAGATAGTTCTCCCAATAGATAAGACTTTCCCTAAAACTCTGTGCATACTCCTGATGAACTGGACTCAGTAATAGTTATTTTTTACTTAATACTGCCTGCCCAGTCTCCACATCAAATCAGTTGTCAAGATCTACTGTTTTACTTCTTCATTGTTTCTTGCATTCTTTCCCTCATTCAAAGGTTCAGCTCTAGTTCTAACTACTAATTCCATATTCTTTGAAAAGAACTAAAAAATTATTTAGTCTCATGCCTCTAAGCATATTGTTTTCATAACCTGGAATGATCTCCATATCCCTTCTCTGAATTTAAATGTCCCTAATTCTGCCTTCCTACTTCTAATTTAATTAGTACTTCTTTAATTTGGGCTTTTTGTTATAAATTACTTTGAGTCTCTCTCATTCTCTCTTTCTCTTGCTCTCACTCTCATTCTTTTTTTCTCTCGTAAACTATAAACAAGTAGAGATAATGTACTAACACTAATCTGTGGAGTGACATCAGCAAGATGGTAGAATAGGCATTTTCAGCCCTCATTTCCCCACAGAAACAACGATTTGGACAACTACCCACGGATGAGGGTACCTTTCTGGAGCGCAAGAGTCCAGAGAAGAAGCCCCAGATCCTCGTTGGAGCAAAAAAATCCAAGAATAGACCCTTTACTTTACCCTTCACTTTCACTTTACCCTTCACTTTACCCATCACTTTACAAGGTAGCATAGTTCAGTGCTAAGAGAGAGAGATACCCTGAGCCATGATTTCTCAGGGGAAGATGAGAGCATAGTGTGTGCCTGCAGCCATGTGGGATGCTGCACAAGAGGGCCACTTTTTAAGTGTCCATTGACAGATGAATGCATAGAAAAAATGTGACGTTTATGTACAATGGAATATTATTCAGCCTTAAAATGGAAGGAAATCCTGCCATTTGCAATATAGGTAAACTTGGAGGAGATTATGCTAAGTGAAATAAACCATACATAAAGGCAAATACTGTATGATCTCACCTATATGTGAAATCTAAAATAGTCCAGTTCATAAAACCAGAGAGTAGAATGGTGGTTGCCAGGGGTTGGCAGATGAAGGAAATAGGCAGATGCTGCTCAAACGGTACAAAGTTTCAGTTATGTAGGATGAGTAAGTCCTGAAGGTCTAATGTACAGAATGGTGACTCTAGTTAATAATACTGTCTTGCATATTTGAAAGAGAGTAGATTTGCTAAGAGAGTAGATCTGAAGTGTTCACACCACACACAAAAGGATGGCAACTACATAAGGAAATAGATGCGTCAATTAGCTTGATTATGGTAATCATTTCACAATGTATACATACATCAAAACATCACGTTGGACACTTTATATACAATTTTTATTTGTCAATTTTACCTCAATAAAGCTGTAAAAAAATAAAAGTAAGAAAAATAAAAGGGGGGAAACTGAAGCAGAGATGGTCACTGGCCCTAGGTGACAGAGTTGAAGTTAAATACAGGCAGTTGGCCTCCAGAGCATAAATTCTGAATCGCTGTGTTATACTATCTCAGTAAACATTTGTTGTAAAAAGTTAAAAAAACTTAACCTTGCGATGTTGATAGTGCCTACTGTATGACTTATTCATACCAGCTTATAAACTTCTGGAGTACAGAGACCATAGAAAATTATTGTTAATTATTGTATTTTCATATTATCTGTTCCAGGACCTTACTCATTATAGATATGCAAAATATATTGCTGCAGTAAAATAATACCAAGATATCAAGGAGTACTACTCAAGTTCAAGGATGCTGATTGCACCATAATTTCTACATTTCTAATGGGATAAATTCTCTTACAGCAATCTCATTTATTAATACAATCAAAGTTCAATGTCCTATTAAAAGAATAATACATCATGCCAAAGTGAGCTTTCTTCTAGGAATGCAAGGATAGTTCAAGGTTGGGAAATATATTAATGTAATTATTTGTATTAAGAGAGCTAAGGAAAATATCTTATGTCATCCCTATAAAAGCTGAAAGATTAGATGGCTTCTCCAGTGAATTTTACCAAACATTCAAAGAAGATTTAATACCCATCCTTCTCAAGCTATTCCAAAAAATAGAGGAAGATGGAACACTTC